GAGATTAAAATGCGAAACAAGTAAGAGGTGCGCATGATAAACAACTCCAGAGGGCACAATTTCGCCATCGAACACTTCTGTATTAGCTGCGTCAGGTCTGTCTCAAGGCTCTATATGACAGCATTGGGATAGCCTTGTCAGGCAGCCTGGTGAGTTAGACACCCGAAAGGCTTAGATTTATCATTAGTGAGCACCTGCCATAAACCAAGAAAACGGTTAACCGAAGGTTTAACAGGGCAAAAATGGCGGTAAAGATAAGTTCCGTGCTCCAAATTGGCTCCTTTATTCCCTGTGAATTGTTCACTCTAGGGTGCATATCAAACATGTTTGGGCGGATGGCGAATTAATTCAATTTATGTATGTGTTCAACGTTTTAAGCAACAGATGGTACCTCTAAAGGTAATCAAAAAGGAAGGAAGAATAAAGTGGCATCACACTCATATGATACATTGAAAAACAAAAGTAGGTAGTTAAATATAAAAACTGCTACTTTTCCGACACAATTTTGTAATAGGCTGAGTCGACTTAAAATATGTTAAGACTAGGTGTTGAAATGGTGATATTCATCTTGAAAATTTAATTAAGAAGACATTTCTTGATTTTTTTGCTCCTGCATTTCGGGAGTGATCCAATTTAGTGGACAAGTTTCCTCGGGAAAAAAGAAATACGTGGAGTAAAATTCTCTACCAGGCCTTGCTGGTGTTTGCACCAGGCTCTGCTTTCGTGGTGTGGTGGCGAGACAAAAAAATAAATAGGGGATGCGTGAAAACCTTGCATTTAGCACACAGCTGCCGATTGCGATGCTCTGTGTTAACAAACCAAACTTAATGCGTGCAAGCGACTGGAGTCGCTGGGGTTCTTGGGCTTGGAGGTACCTGTCGCCCTTGCTCTGTGCATACATAGACATAATTCAGATGTGGGTGGGGCAGGACATAGCCATAGGTGTCCAGGTTCTGTGAGAGCCTCGTTTATGTTGGTGGTTTGAAGTGAGCTCGGTTTTGGATGACGTCAGAAAACCTCAGAAAAGGAAATAGGGGTTTGGCATGTGCTATCAGACAAGGTCAGGCGGGAGTGAAAAATTAACATGAAATATGGGGGAGAGGAGTGAAAAATTAACATGAAATATGGGGAAAAGGAGTGAAAATTTCTCCTCATAGGGTGTTGCTTTACACCCAAAGTCGGTAATTCTAGGACACTGGTTGGTAACAGCCACAGCCCGTGGTGCGCTGTGATCAAACGGTGTAATTTTAAATGCACGTACGCAGATGAAAAAACGTGTAGATGATAGTATATCAACAAAACACTTTGAACTAAGTAATCATCAATTCGCAGCGCAGATATTTGCAGGCTCAAAAACTATCTCACATGTTATCTACAGGCAGGTAACTAGGCCCCTGTTGTCAGTCATTTAGTGCCTCATATGGGAGAAGGGCTTCGGAGAGAGCGAAAGTGGGGTGGTCCATCAACAACTTGGGAATCTAAGTGTAATTATATTTATGCTATTCGAAATCACCACGGAATTTTGGCCGATTCGACTGTCATCTGCGTACGTGCTTTCAAAATGACACCGTTTGATCCACAGCGCACCACAGGCTGTGGCTGCTACCACCATGATGATCGTTATCATGCATTCATTACGAATGCACCGAATATTACAGCGCTCGTATCGAGTTTTGTTAAGGAAGGTATAATGTGCCTGTCGATGGTGCCCGCTATCTTGTACTAAAGGGTACGCACGGGCAAAAGTAGTCAAGGCGGGAAAAGTTTGGGAGATGCGCCATCCTCACCGGTCCGTACGACCGGCCGGCGGCGGGTCAACCCGTCGCGCTCGTCCCTCTGTGAGACGACCGAGGTACGCGAACATTCCGTCATGGCCTGGATGTCGACGTAAACACGTCTGACGTCCAGTCGATCATATGTGGCATGCAGCGTGCGCTATCTGCGTCGGCAGCGAAATACCATCCTGGACCATCGCAAGTTCTTCCGCCGGTAGCTGCAAGACGGTGAGACGTTTGAGGACTATCTCGTGGCTTTATACGAAACCGCCCAGCGTTGTGACTTCTGTCAGCATTGCACCGACTCGCAGTTCCTTGGCCGCATTGTCACCGGGATCCAGGACAAGAGCACGCTGCGGGCGCACCTGAGCGAAAGCGACCTCACCCTGCAGCCGGACGTGTCGACCGTCAACATCTGTCGTGCACAGGAAAACGTCCGACAGAACTCTGCCGCCATGTTCAGCGAGCGCGTCCCCCCGCGTCCGCCTACCGTCGGAACAGGACCGCTAGCGGCCGTCGATCCGGCCCGGGCCGCTCAGGCCCCCATCGTCGAGCCCGTCCCAGACGCCGGACAGGTGCGCCGCCTGCGGTCGACGCCCTCACGGCGACGGACAGGCACGTCCCGCACGGTCGGCCACCGGTGCGGTCGTCGCGGCAACTTCCAGGGCATGTGTCGCCAGCGTGGCGCCGTGGCGTGCGGACGCCACCGTTCACGACCCTGCGACCGAAGCTTGAACCAGCCCCGCGCGGACCTGGCCGACGTCCGCCTTTGTGGCCCGTCGTCTCGACACGCTCCTCAGGTCCGCATTTCAGTGATGCATCGAGATGGGGCCGGCTCAGCCCTCTGGACGCCTGATACCGGCACGGAGGCGTCGTACCTGGGCGTTGTTCAGGCTGAAGTCCTGCACATCGACGTCGACCATCTGTGTCCGCCCGTGAACAAACTGTACGCAGCCGGTGGACACGAGCTCCAGTGCTGCGGAACGATCACATGCGGCCTGACCTTGGGCTTGATCACAGCTGGCGTGACTGTACCTGTCGTGCAGGGTCTTGACAGCGCTCTGATCTCATTGCATGACTTCATCGCCCTCGGCATTCTGTCACCGGACTTCCCTGCTCAGAGCTCGAGCGTCGCGACTGGCCTCACTGCCACTGCCACCTCGCGGGCCGGCCGCGCGTGCTGACCGCTGCGGTCGAGACCGCTGTGGTCAAGCGTCCATGCAGCCACCCGCCTGCGTGCTGAGGTTCATGTGTCCATTCAGGATCCGTCGACTTGGTTGTGGGACAGACGAGGCACGATCGGGGGCGTAGGCCATCCGCGTGCCTTCCTGGTGAAGCTCCCCAGTGGCAGCCCCTATTGGCGCCACCGCCGCTTCCCGCGCCCGTTCCGGCCGCTGGTGCCTGCGTGTCCCAAGCCGGCTTCCCAGCCGCCGTGACCTCCCGCGTCGACCCCTCCAATCACTCCTCCCTGCCCGCCACGCAGGGTCACGTTCGCGGATGGGCTGGCTGACCCCATCTCCTCCTCCATCGTCACGTCCCCTGGCCCTCCGCGGCAGCTGAAGACACCCGCACCGACCCGCCCGTCTCCAGCTCGACCCCAGTCTCCCGTCTTACACGCAGTGTGCTTTCGCCCTGTTCGCCGCCTATGCCTCCTCGCGCGACGCCCGTGACGTCCATTTGAGCCGATGCCCCGGCTGCTGTTGTCATGTCCTCGGCTCGAGGGAAGTGGGCCAGTGGAAAGTTTGGCTGCGCATAGCGAGTGTGAGGCAGCCGCACACGACAAAAGTTTGTTCGGCGAAAACTTGGGGAGGTGGTTTGTGACGTATGGCCTATCTCGGACGGTGGCGCCAGGAGCTAGGGTAATCTGACGCCGGGCTGATATGAGGCCGCCGAGGAAAGATTGACGGTGCGACCCGAAGCGCTGAGACGCCCGAAGGCGTCTTCACGCGTCTGGCAGCCTTGTCCGAAGCGTCGAGGAGTGTAGAGACTCCCGTTCACATGTGCCCGTCTCCGCGGTGTGGTTCCTTGACTCAGCAGTGGCGACCGCAACGGCCATGACCGTGCCGAGGTCTGGTCTTACAAGCGGCCTGCACACCGGCGGCGCACACGTCACTTACGGGCGACTGACTGGAGAGCAGGTGCTCCACAAATGACGAGTTACCCATGTTTTGGGCGACACGAAACGGCTTGAACACAGATGCCTGGGGCGACATCACAGTGCAATGGGCTAGAGCTGCTTGACAGCTTTGTAACCTTAAATTGCTAGTCCAATGTCTGAAAGCATGAACATTCCTGAATGGTTTATATTTGAGGAGTGCGTAAGTAAAACTCATCGTCCATCAAGGCGGGAACGGATCCTGTGTATTCTGTGACGGGCCGTCATTTCGAATAGGCATTCCGTGACACAGTTGTGTTCCAGCTTACAGATTTACACGACAGAAACACCCTAACAGACTGTTTTATTCAGTTAATTGCATTCATCGCAGGCCTCATTCTATTTCCAGCAAGTCGTGCTTGCTTGAGCAACCGAATGAGGATTATATGCAAAACGTCTGCGACGCTCTAGACACAGTCATTGGACGGAATGTTTTATCACAGGTCGAATCTATGGCTGATATTTCTTAGATTGTCATAAGCTGAGTGAACTCCTATAACGATGACTCTAAGACAAACATCTTTTATCAAACAATGGATTCATGCCTCTGGATTTCTAATCTAATTTCAGTGTTTCTCGCCTTCCAGCAGATATCCAAGCGTTAATACATGGCTTCCGACGGTTTCACATGACTGGGAACTGTAACCCTTTCCCAACATACCTGTTTACTGAGCCGAACTGAACCACAAGGTCGAGTGACAAGGTCCACAGCTCTTACGATGGGTCCGCACGGACTGTTCGAGGGAGAATCATCAGTCGTGGGGTGTGGGGTCACTTCAGTGCATGGAAACCGAAATAATGCAACACTGCCATAACGATATACTCGATGGAGCCAAAGTTATAAAAATACAACTGATAACGTCATTTCACAACAAAGACACCGTAAACTGTTCAAAAATCTCACGGAGTGCAGCAGTACTATCGTTCGCGCTTCCACAACATCTGAGAATAAAGGCACGGCAGTTGTGCACAACGACTCACCAACTCAGAATCAAATAACACTTTCAAGCAATTGCGAAATTTGCATGAGAAAGTTACCAAGGAGACTACTATGCCATCCAGCTGGCCGCTGTACACTTAATATTCGGGGAGAAAAGGGGGAGTTGGCTGACCACTAGACTTTGGAAATATTTGATGAGCCTTGTGGTTGTGATCCCATTCTACCTGCCTTTTGGTCTGTTCATTTTTCGGCCAGTGCCCCTCCGACAACCCACAGCGATAACAACTGACGAAGCTGAGAGGCGCTGCCGCAGCGCATGGTGACGTCACTCCACAGGGGTGACGGAACGCGACGCCAGCTGGTGACGTCATCCATCACGTCCGCAGAGGCAGCTGCATGGCGGCCACAGCATTAAGTGACGTAATTCGAGGCGGGCAGCACACAACCCCGCCGAAACCGCGGCATCGCGTCGCGTCACTGCACGACTTTCAACTAACAGCGTCGCGGCCCTACGCTGTGACGTCACTCCGTCACACCGCACCGTGACGTCACAACGGGCAGCACGGCGTGACGTCACTCTACCACACTGCGCCGTGACGTAACTCGGCGACCCCGACTGGGATCGGAGTCATGCCCGGCGTCACACCATGACCTGCGCCAGCGTGAGCAAGGCGGCGCGCTAGTTGAAGAACTTGTCGTCCTCCTCGGTGATGACGGGTCGGCCTCCGTGGTGGGTGACCGGCTGGCCGAAGTTGCGCAGCGCCTTCTTCAGCTGCACCTGCTTGGCGTGCTCCTGACGCCCCTTGAGCTTGTCGCGCAGCTCGTTCAGGTGCTTCTGCCTGCGGACGACGGGAGGCGGCTGATGACGTGGGAGCGTTTGCGCTGGGTGAGGAGCATTGTTCATGAGTCTCGGACTACCTTGAGGGGGCGGGGAAAGCATTCTGAGATCTTAAAATTCAAAATTCAGCACCGCAAAGCAAACTTCGGTATGGTTAGGACGTGGAACAAGTCGCCTTAAAACCTTGGTACGCCCAACTCTTCTCGTAGAGGAAGCCCAAAGAAGATCGTTGCATGGTGACTGCACTGCTCCCTCATGGACTGGCTGTATTAGATTTGCCTCTTGTGTAGATGAATCGGCGGTATTATGCACAAATGTATCATACGTCAAAACGCCACTGAGCACCTCCCTTGACCTGATTTGGCGACCTCGTCCCAAATACCTTTTGTCTAGAGCGGTGTCAATCTTCTTTCCCAGCTGGTCCTCCTTTTCTTCAATGCGTTTCTGCTTCGCCTCCTCGATATACTGTTGTTTCATAGTGATTTTTTGCACTCTTTCTTCTTCTGCCGCCTGTAACAAAGCGAGTGAGAGTCAGATGATAGCTGTTTGGTAGGAAAGGGGACAGTCGAGGATGGTTTGAGTCGCGCAGCAAACGTTGCGGTGTCTCTCGATTCCCATTGATGCTTGTCCTGTCAGTCGTGCACTCTATTTCCAATCCGTGTGCAAAGTTTTGCCTTCATCGACGTTGGCCCATAGCAGCTGAGTGCCGCTGTGGCGTACTTAAGTACAGGGCATGTGTCAAAACAAAACAAAAAAATGGGGACAAATTACAAGGAAATTACGACATAGGTTGGGCGCAAAAAGACACTGCGAAAAAGATGCCGAGGCTTTCTACGTCGATATAATTGCCAATTAATTCTAGGTGAGCCCGATTCTTTCAAAGCAACAAAACTCAGATGAAAATCGACAGCCGTCAGCAAGTGGCTTAGGGCTTGAAGCTATTATGTTGTGTTTTATACGTGGCACCATGAAACCCTCACGAAATCGTTCCATTTAGACGCATGCGTAAGCATGCTGTGGGTACCTAATTCTTTCACGCGATAATATTAACTCTACTGCAAGATACGAGAGACTGAGACAAAACTGCATCTTTACTACGTATGCTGCACATTGGTTAGTCAATCTAACTGCTTCAGCATAAAAAATCGTGCACAAAATTATGCTCATCACGAACCTCAGCCCGGGGCTAGTCATAAGTCCATAAATATTCCATAAATATTTCCCGTCCATAAATATTTCCCGCGTCAGCCCATGTCGTCCTATAACGATAACTCGGTCCTAACATCTGACGTTACGTGAACACTTGGCGGTGGCATTAAAACCGAAAAAGTGACGTCACTGGGAGTCAGCCGGTGGAAGCCAAACGTTGACAGCTCAGCAACTACTTTGATTTCTAACGACGTTGAAGTGATGAGATGACCGGTTAGGGCGGGAACGGACGCGATAACCACGTTCTTGAAATGCTATTCAACTCCAGATTTAAAAATTTAGTCTCACCAATGACGCAACTTGTTTGGGCTAGGCTAGTTCAACAGTGTGTCTGAAGCTGCTGGAGGGAAGAGTACGGCGCCCAGGTCTGTGGCTGGAAGAAGGAAAGAACGCGGGTTTCGGCTGTGTCGCGGCTGGGGTGGGGGGGGGGGGGGGCGAGTGGAGTGTGGCGCCTAGGTCTGTAGACGCAGGAAGGAAGGAGCGTGTGTCTCGGCTGTGCCGCTGCTGGAGCGAGAGTGCGGCGCCTGGGTCTGTAGCTGTAGAAGGAAGGAGCGCGGTTCTCGGCCGTGTCGCGGCTGGAAGAGAGAGTGCGGCGCCTGGGTCTGTGCCTGCAGGAAGGGAGGATCGTGTGCCTTGGCTGCACCACTGCCGGAAAGGAGAATGCGGCGCCTGGGTCTGCTGTTGCTAGAGGAGAGTGCAGCATTCGGGTCTTCCGATGCCGGCCATGAAGAAGGAGAGCGCGGCACTCGGGCCCTCCGCTATACACTACCGGGGCCTGCTGTTGTGCGCCACGGGTCTGCCGCTGGCGTGGAAGGAGAACACGGTACCCAGGTGGCTCCGAGGATCGCCAGGTGCTGCTCGATCACTACACCCGTCACACTGCGCAGGGAAGGCCTAAAGCGCCGAGCTGCTCAGGGAGGAGCTCGGCTGTTGTGCGGCCACGATCGCACCCTGGGTGGTTACCGGAGGCCCGCGGCCTGTGCGACCGACCGAGTGGCCACATCCAAACAGGGCCGGCGGTTGAACCCTCCCGCCTGCTGCGTACACACGGTCTCCAGCAGCTGCGCAACACTTCACGGCAGACGGCCGCTCGCCCGCTCCAGGCCACCGGCCACAGTGCCGGTGCACCGCCAGGCGTTCAGTGACGCGTGGCAGCGGGCGGCAGGTGCATGAGGTCAGACGGTGTCGAGAGTCTCGGTCCAGTGCTATGACGCAAGCGCTGGCTCGCTCCGGCGCCTCTGTGTCGGACAGCACATTCTCGCGCGGGGCCCCGAGACAGGTCTGTGGGACCGGTCGGGGGAGGGCAGGGGGGGGGGGGGGCGTCACAGCCGTCGACAGGCGGTGAGACTGCCCGGCTTACCTGCCCACGGGGCGAATGTGTTCGGGAACCGCCGGCATTTCCGGCCCCTACGACTACCTGTGGCGGTGCCGCAGAGTGGCGGCAGCGGTCGAGACAGCGGCGACGGCGATATTAACGATTGCGGCGGCCGTGACGACGACGACCGCCACGACGTTGGATGCGCGATCAAAGACATGACCGTGCGTCTGAGCCTGACAGCCAACACATCACACCCGGTTCCTGTAAGGCATCCTGGCAGCCACAGGACGGATCGGCCAGGAAATTACATGAATCATGTAGAGCGCATCATGTAGAACACAACGATTCCCGAAGTAATGCAAACATAATTCGTCCATCGATCGCGCTGGTCTTCGCATGCCTTCTCAGAGGGTCAGCTCCGTCGCTGGGCGCAGCAAGCCCACAATCATTTATTTATCCATTTCCCGTCCACTTCGACAATGGTAGAAAGTCATGCACCTGCTCTTTTTCTAAAAATGCTAGCTTGTAAAGGGCTGTTGTGAAGTTCCACCTCAGGCCGGCGGAACCTGCTATCACAGTGGAACGAATGTGGCCATTGCTTCCAAACTCTCAGCTGTAGCCTCAGACGCGCGCCACTGATAGGTCGGACGTATCACGCAACAGCCGATCGCGTGCAACTTTCTGAATCACTCAAGGGAAAGTTCTGGAAGGCTCTCCCGACCAATGTTTCCATTCAGTGGAAGCATGACGTGCTATGTGTGATGTCAATGATCATTCGTGTGTTTGGTAGGAACGTTTCAAATAGACCACGACGCTGGCTGGCAAATACGGGGACAAATCTGAGAACATTTTATCAGCTGGCGAATGTTCCAAACAGACCATGACGTTGGCTGTCAGATACGGGGACGAATCTTGAAACATTTTACTAGCATGCGATGGCCAGATCTCGAAAATGCACTAAAAAAAGCTCATCACGCATTTTTGGTAGCTTTGTTTCTTCCCAGTATTCTCTTTCGAGACCATGAATCTCAAAGAGACGCAAAGGTCTTCCACTGCTGGCCGGGGGGCCGGAATCCGCTTCACCCCTTCCAGCCCTGGGACAGACGTCAGGCCAACCTCAGCTCACCCACGCGCCAAATCCCGGCCGGCGCGCCTGTCGGGCGATGGACGCCCCGCCGCCCTCCGCACACCGGTCTGGTTCCACCGATGCACGGCCAGTCACGCGAAGTGGACCGTACGACGGCGGGGAGGGGTGCGAGATCAATACGGTCGGCCTACCTGGCCGTCGGACCGTATGCCCCGACGCCACCGCCGCGTCACCGCGTCGGCTGACTCGGAGCGGGCAAGCCGCCATGCCAAGGTCATGTCGCCGTCGATCCCATCCTCGTAAATACTGCATGGACCTGTGTTTTCCGACGCTAAAGCTTTGTGGTATGCGCGGTCGGAAGGACAACGGGCGGGCTGGAACTGCGCATGCGCACCCACCCTGAATGGTCTGAGTGGTGAGTCATCGTGTTCGCCATGAAAGATGCAGTCAGTGCGAAGACTTCATGATTTTAAAGCTCCCCGTTTTTTTTCTGCAGCGATCGTTCTCAGGGATTGTGTACTCAAAAAGATCAGTTTTGAGATACAGACGATAGCAAGCTGCGGGGGTGTTTTGACTTGCGGTGGTCCGTTTCGGAACGCGTAGCTGCTGCGTCATACCAGTTTTTCTGGTTTATTGGTGCATTCGCTCTAACAATTGTTGGCTTTTTAACTTACGAAATTTCGTAAAATTTGATGCTTATTGTTCGTAATATTTAATACTACAAGGTTAAGTGTAATGCGTTATATGTGGGACATCAGTACGCCACAAAAGCACCAGCATTGCGGTAATACCTTAAGCCATATGTTTGCGGCGCCTCAAACCGAGAAATTGCAAAGGTGGCAAGCTTTCCATTGTTCTGTTTTTGTCCTAATCGGAGCGATGTTTTGTTAGCCACAGGCTGCAGCACAGCACCGGCTAAGAGTACGAAACCTCTGGTAGCTCCAATGTTTTTTTTTCAGGAATTGAGTTTGATTCAGGTGCGGGCGTTTGGATCTTAGCAAGCCAGGAATGATAGATGATTGGATGTACGTTGTGATCCAGATGTTTGTGCACTCATTGTCGCAAGAAAGCCATATGGCTGACGTACAAGTGCCACTTTTAAAACTATCACATCCACGGAATAATCGGTATTACAAACAGGCATTGAATTCAACCATAAGAGTGTCTGCGGGTCCTATTGAACACGGGCACAGGAACGGGGGGGGGGGGGGGGGGGGGTCCGTAGGTGCCGTGGCACTCCCACTTTTGAGAGTGCGGGTGCCAGCAAGGGTAGTGCCACCCTGACTTTTCGGGCTATAAGCTATATTTGCAGGTGCCTTTTTTCAAGGAATCCTACACTAGTTAACGTGACCCAAAATGGGAAACTAAATACTCGCTCCTATGATGCAGCAGGCATTCACCGTAGCAGAGAGGAAAATACTTGATGCACTCCATATAAATGGCATGACGTTACCAACTTCATTTTGCTGCGGATGCCAAGATAAAACAGATGCTTTTTACAAGGCAGTTTAACTTTATCGTAACAGGCGATAAGATCAGTTTGCATTTGTTTAGTGGCTGTGATTCTTTCCGCAACAGGACCTGAATCCAACAGCACTGTAGGTGACAGTAGACCAGGACCAAGAGTACGATGGATCAGGATATGAGGGACTTTCAACATATGTTATGTGTACAACTGTGTAGAAATTCAACTAAATTTTTCCTGCTTTGGTCATATGACTAGACAAAACCAAAACATCCCTTTATCTTTCTACCTGAAACCCGCAGCCAGCATATCGAAATCGTATCCCACGTGTATCCCACTTGTCCCATTCATCCCATCGTATCCTATTTATTTGAATGCGGAAGGATCCGAGGGGTGGTGAGCAAATGTCGGAATGATCTTTTCAGAAGGAAAACATGTAGCTAAAGTTATGTTTTTATCCCCACAGTTTGTGCATGTAATTGTTTACCTACATCAAGGGAAGTGTTCTACATTGGCATGGGGTTTTGGACTGAGAAAGCCATCTTGAATATCACGATGTAAATGTCCTTTCAAAGGGAGTGTCCCACATTTGTATGGTGTTTTATACTGCAGTAGCCGTCTTGAAGGTCATTCGACGCGATTATCTCCTACGAAAATCGTGTCAAACCATATCATTTGTGAAGTCAAGAGATCGCTGCCTGAGTCCAATTATGGGAGCTGAACCCATAGGCGTCCAAACTCTGGTCGCGCTTCGTCGGTACCGTGTTGCAAGTGTTACATTAGGCAGGCGACTCTGTGGTACGTCGGCATGTAGGCCTTGACTGGAGCTTACGTCTACAGAGGTGCTGATAGCCCTCCCCAAACATTAAGAATGTACAGGGAAGGGCTCGAATGTCATTATGCCTGAACCCGGCATCCTGCATTTGAAACGTTCTCGAGCCCATGCTCTGGGGGTGTGTGCATATCAGAGCTTGTTGCCTGGTTTCTTTCCATGCAAAATGTAAGCTCATATATCCACGTAAAACATGTGAACCTATTGGGCTAACTTGTTTTAGAGATCGGGCGTCTCTAACCTTGCCCTGCTGTTGTCAACATAGTCCAGCTCGCCTCGCGTGGTTTGGTCGTGGGAAACATTCTGTGATGTTTGGTAAACGCATGATTTACACCGTCCACAGGGAACATACACACCCGCACAAGAATCCAGCATCGCCTTTGCAATAACCAATCATTGATAGTTTCAGGCCTTCGTCCAAGTGGGCCACAAACAGCGGCTCTTCGGCTCACTGCGTTCGCACACTGTCATCAGCGTTTCTCCACACAAGCCATCAAGATGGCGACCGGCTCCGTCGCCGCCTGTTATCTGACCTTTCTGCGCTCCTCCTTCTCGCGTTGGTCGGCTTCGGGGTCGACGCGGCGCACGTGCGCACGCCGCCGTGCCTCCAGGCTCTGCAGGTGGAGCGAGGGCAGGCGCTCCTGGACGGCCGAGGCGCCCCGCCGCTGCACGCCGTCCGTCTCCTTGATGTCCACGATGTCGAAGCTGGGAGCAGAGAGGGCATGAGAGAGAAAGGACGCTAACAAGCGCCGCGGTTGTAACGACGAGGTGGAAGCCACGGAAATGCCGTTGTCAGTCCGATGCAGAAGGCTGTAAAAGCAGAAACGCGGTATGCAGCAGGACGGTACAAAAAGGGAGAAAGACAGAGACGAACGGATGGGGCGGGAGCTAGGCAGAAGCCAAATCATGAAATCACGACGGAATCATGAATGAAGCCCTGCATACTTAGATACATGCAACGAGCGTGTGACCGAGACCGAGCTTAAGCGTATGGACTCTAAACGTGCATGCAAAATGAGCACCACGAATAGCAGGCTATGAGAGCTTTTTAGACAGTGGACTTGATCAATGAATCACACCAAACGGAGGAAAAGTATCTGACAACACATTTGAACGAGATGCCAAGGACGGGCATATAGCATGGATACCACGAATAGCAGGCCGTGAGGGCTGCGACAGGAGAGCTGTGTAAGAGCAGGCAGTGGACAAAGGCAGTGGACATAGCCGATGAATCTAAACCGGATGAATCAGCCGGAGGGGAACCCGGAGGCAGAAAGAGGAAGAGCCGGAGTAAAAACCGGAGGGAGGCGTGTAGTAATGCATTGAGCCTCCTTCGTATTGCCACGCGTTAGAATGCAAGGCGAACGAACCTTCAACGGATCGAAAACAAATTTAACGTTAAGTAAGTGGAAATATTGTGGCGCACCGTCGGTGGCCAGGAGTGGTATGGGCGGTTATGCTTTTCACGGGTGTATACATTTTCAACCGATGATCGTACCACCACATGGTTGTCAGCAATTAGTAGTACAATTCTTTAAAAATTTAGCTGTAATATGTCGGATGCACTATAATGCATGCTGGCTGATTTTTTGCCGGAGCCGGCATATTTCTGTAACGTTGTGGTATTGTTCTATTTCATCTCCCGATTCTATAAGTCTAGGAAATGTACCAATTTCCAGTCGTGAAAAGTCTGCACAACGCGGGTTAGATATAGGCCCAGAACTTAGCTACCGGGAACCGCAATGAAGCTAAATGTGCTGCGATATGTAAACGAGCGATGCTGGTCTCTGCTGTTTCGTAATTTCTTCGTGATTGCAACACGACAAATCTTTTCACTTTGTTATCAGTCAGCGTTTAACTTACAACTACCACCACCACGGTTTCGGCTGTTCAAGTAGGACCTGTGGATATACTTAGGCACTGAGTACCGGCTGCCTTATTGTCTGCATATGACAGCCATGACAACCATGGTTGAACCATGACTGCCGAGACAGAGGTTCTAAAAGTACATAGTCGCATGTTCTAGTTCGCTGTGACCTATTTCTTCATACAAAAGCTCAATTTTTTCCAATACACCTGTCGAAGTAACGATATGTGTAATTTGCTCGTTCATCTCGTCGATCAAAATTGATCACTTGCCCATATTGCAGAAGCCATTAGTAAATTTGTGCATAGACGCTGAACATCAATGCGCCTCCGCCTGCTTAGCTCATGAAAGTGAGATAGTCCAATGCATTTGTGAATCATATCCGAAAGGGTCCCGACAATCGATGGGCTTCATTTGCTACTGTTTACGTATCATCGTCATGTGACGACAATCACGCATGTTGTAGCCTTGCTTGTCCCACACCGAAAAGACGTTCCGCTTCATCATATGCGAAATATACGACGCATGCACGAAAGTACACAAAGCAGGGGCAGCGCAGCAGCAGGAGGGAGAGAAAGGGGACAGTTACCCCTGTTGACAGGGAAGGAGGCAAAAATGTGGCGGCTCCTCAAAAGTTTGGGAGGCTCCTTTTGCCAAAGCTAAAGGCTCTGTAGCTCCACATAAGTTACCAACACTCCGGTCAAGAATGCCCCATAACTGAGCTGGACGTTGCTCAAACGGACTCGCAGGGGCCTTTTTACATCAATAAGCTGGTATATTGGATCATGAACTAGGCTTGAGGAACTTGGTAGCCCGTGCTCTGGACCGAGATGCCCTATTTTGTGTTAAGGAGGCCGATTTGTTGACTTGAGAGACCAAGTTGTGAAATAAGAGACCCCTGTTTTGGAATAGCAGGCCCCTTTCATGAATCAGATGACCTCAGTTTTGGATCAGGATGCCCTGTTTTGGGAAAATAAGGGCATTTGCTGGATTTATAGGCACTCTTCACGAATCGGTGGGATCGTGTAGTGGATAAGAAGGCCCTTTTTGAAGCAGAAGGCCCTTTTTAGGAACAGGAGTTTCCATTATTGGATAGGGAGATGATTCGCCGGATCGAAAAGGTCCCTGCATTGTTCAAAAGGTTTCTACGTTAATCAAAAGGTCCATATTCTAGATTGTTTAATGGTCGACGTTTAGATACGTGGACATTGATACGTGTAGCAATCTGATAATGTTTATGTGATCCCGGCGCCCCGCCCCTTAAGCATGACACCGTCTAGGAGTCAGTGTCAGTGACAACGTGTGGCCTCCCTGTAAGGAAATCCCACTTTGTCCAGGAGCCCTGGAACATTCTGTCACCCCTCCCCCAGCTTAAAATCCGTGGCACAGCCTCTGATACGAAGGCTTTATTAGCCGCGAGTGAAACCATTGATACCATCTATAATGTGGAAAGCATAGTGTGGATAGAAAGTTGTCCACATGGAATTATTAGGAAACATTCAACCCGGGGTAACCGGTTCAAGAAAAGTTGCGAACAAAAGCATAAGATCGATGAGAGCTAAGTGTCATGGTGTGTTTCTGTCCTTCTGTTGTTGTTTTTTTTTTAATTCCGGCCAAAACCACCTAGCCCATGATTGCATTGGGACCATCAAAGCAACGTCATTGTATCACAGTGGGAACTGAAATTGAACATCTTGAATTAGGATATGAACCTTTACAATAGGAATTGGAAGTGTGATACCAATACGACAGCAGGGCAGCGATGACCCTTATCCACCGCAGAAAATAAAGCTGCAACACGAACATGAAATACAGCACAAAAAACGAGCATAAAGCTGGAAAACGAATATAAAACAACCGAAATACAATATTATGGACAACTAAAAATCGGGAGTGAAATACAACTTTAGTAATGGAACTGTGGTCGCAAACAAACACGGGCCTCGTGTCAAAGCCCCGTATGCGGGAATCCCGGCCGTTTACTGCGGTTTCGAGGCGAAGCTCGTCCGTGCCAGCGCGCACCATTACGGCCGTGTTACGCCTGGAAACGGCCTGGAAACCGAGCCCGCCGCGACGCTGACCGCGACTATCGACCGACCTGAGGCCGTTGGTCGCCTTGGCCTTAGGCATGGCGATGAGCCCCTCCTCCCGCAGCGACTGCAGGATCTGCTTCTCCTCCATGCGGTTCTTCTGGTAGCCGGAGAGGAGGCGCGGCACAGCCTTCCCCACCACCTCGAGCTCTGCAGAACAGCGGCGGCGTTCAACGCCCCGGGACCGGTCAGAGGTCGTCGGGGCACAGGGTGAAAAGGTCATCAGGCGAATTAGTCATTTGGACGGGCAGGTTAGGCTGTCAGGTCCTCGGGTCGCCCCCTCCCTCTCCTCCCACCGTTAGTTATAAAAGCTGACGCCCCTGAAGACTCATGCACGTGTCAGTGCCGGTAACATCTTGTTCGAGCAACGAGGCTGTTTGCGGGTATTTATAACGTTCTAACAACGATAACTTGATCCTATCCGATCAGCGAAGGCTTTTGATGAAGAGCTGAGGACGCACCTATTCCAGGAATGTGACGTGGCATTCGCCGTCGCCTTGAGCCATAGCCGGAAACCCGCTTACCAGCTCAGATCTCAGATTTCAACCCTCCGACCCGTCGATCTTAGCGGGACCAAACTGCCTTCCGGCTCGGCTCGAGAGCATGGCGCGAGAACTCACCGAGCTCGTATGGCGGCTTGAAGTCGCGCTCAACCAACTTGACCATTTCTGCCGCCGAGTGTTCGGTGATCACGTGACTGTAGTTCTCGTCCAGATCATAGATGCCGCTGTCAGCACTTTCCTTGGACATGGCCGAGTGCGACTTGAGGTCCTCAAAAAGCAGCGTGCCGTTCCGAGCATCGAGCGACTCCTGTAGCAAGAGAGGAGGTGTCAGAGCAGCAGTGGCATCCAGCGATTCCTGCAGCAAGGGAAGACGCGTCAGAGCAGCAGCGGCGGCAGCGACTGCTGCAGCCAAGGAACACGCGTCAAAGCAAAAACGGCAGAAACGTATCTTGCGGCAAGAGAAGACGGCAGAGCGGCAGCGGCGTCAGCAACTCCTCCAGCCAAGGAAAACGCGTCAAAGCAGTAACAACAGAAGAAAACCCTGCAACAAGAGAAGACATGTCAGAGCAGCGACGGCGGTAGCGACTCCTGCAGCGTAAGAACTCGCATCAGAGCAGCAACGGCAGAAGTGAATCCTGCAGCAAGAGAAGACGCGTCAAAGCAGCAGCAGCAGAAGAGCGTCGGGCTCCTTTTGGAGAGCAGAAGGGCGAGTTGATGCTGCAGGCCGCTTGAGAAGCTCAAGCCACGCGCCAGACCTGGAATGATGCTATAAAGGGCTGCAGGTCTGAGGACTTTGGTAAATCATCACATCGGTGTTCTTTTTTCTTTCCAGACTTCCAATGCTTGATTGGTTACAATATGCAGACATGACATGCAACTTCTGTCGTACGCCTTTGATTTTACAGCAAAGGAAGGAACGGCGCAAATATGGAAAACACCTTGGTGCATAATGCTATGCCCAGTTGTGTCTTGTGCGAATGGGCACAAGGCCCAAAGCTGGTAAGGATACAGCTGCTGAGGATATATGAGGGTCGAAAAGCCGCCTTCGGAAAGCATTTACATCTGCTGATTTTCCATCGCATTGTATTATGTTTTAGGGGCAAGTTTTTTACGAAATTCTGCGCGTGATCTACCGCAACCCCGTTAAGGTGCCATGCAAGAGGCATGACTTTCCATTTATGTTGCGACAAATTCCGTGAGCTCGGCTACGCGTAGCGCTGGGAAATCCCGAGGGCCGTCCACGAGAGCATTGCTAGAGGCACGCGAGTAGAGCATTCAAATTTTGAAGAAACATGTCAAGAAATCTCCGTGGTCTTGGGGAAAGATGCTGGACTCGTAATCCAGCGGCACTGGGTACGAGTCCCAGAGTGGGCGCATTGTTTGACCCGAATGAAACGGAAAGGCCAGCTGGCAACTGGCCAACGAGGCTCAACCCAGACCCGAGGCGGCCGTGTCGCAGCATTGTGCGGCACGTAAAACCCTCCGCATTCCTGTTCGGCGAAAGGGCGGAGGCAAAATTAGCTGTTGAACAGGACGGCACGCTTGGGTGGTGGGTTCGGGGTACAGGCAACAAGCTATGCTTAGCAGGTACTCTGAATCCGAAGTCACCCATACAAACCATTCGGGATAAATTTTAAAAAATCTTAAAGCATTTAAAACGCCCTTGGAAATCTTGAGCACGCCTAGTCCGTACGAGGCGTCGTGGGTGCGTTATTTCGTGGGATTGCAGTCACTTACTCAGGGAAAGCATGCAGCCGGTTTTAACGAAGCCCCAGGTCGGTGAATAAATGCATCCGTAAAACGGTTGTGGTAGGGCAAACCAAATATCGCGTCGGCCACGGGTCGACACTGCAGTGAACGGCGTGTGTCGGCCGCGGGCAAGTCACTGCAGTGATCAGCGTGTGTCGGCCGCGGGCCCGTCACTGCAGTGATCAGCGTGTGTCGGCCGCGGGCCCGTCACTGCAGTGATCAGCGTGTGTCGGCCGCGGGCCCGTCACTGCAGTGATCGGCGTGTCTCAGCCGCGGGCCCATCACTGCAGTGATCGGCGTGTCTCAGCCGTGGGCCCGTCACTGCAGTGATCGGCGTGTCTCAGCCGCGAGCCCGTCACTGCAGTGAACGGCGCGGGCTGTGACGCCTTGCACGATCGGTCACTGCGGTCGTCTTATTCAAAAATGTTGTTATGTGATGCAACCAGTATTTTCGGGGATGGAAATCTGTGTCGAATCTTCATATCACCACGTTGTTTTTTTTCATGCGTGAGGCCAACGTCTTCGGAATGTCACCAGATTGTGTCAATGTTCAATTTAGCCCGGATTTCTTTTGTGCAATGCCATTTGGTGATAAAACACCACAGCAGCTATGGTGATGGCGAGTGGCGCAGCAGCTGCGCCACACGCCGCCTCCCGCTAGTAATGCCTGAAAGGACTGCTACTATTGGTGCAATGTCCATAAACATAAGACAGGGGCGCCACGTTCCATAATAAGTCGCGCGGGGGGGGGGGTTGAGCAGGGAAAAATGACAAGCCATACCCTAAAATACGCAGAAATGTATTTCCCGGATTTACATGAATTTCTTATGTTATTCTGACCTTAGTCTGTCCCCCAGCTTAATGAAAAACTATAAGCGTTGTGATTGCTGATGATCATTTCTCTAACATGTATTTTCTTCAAACGGTAACAAAATACTTCTCGGACACCGCTCTGGCTACAGAGCTTTCTGACAAGACATCTGGAAAACTTCAAAAGTTTCGGCATGCCCTAGTAATTACATCTTAAAGGTCTTGGGAAGTCAGTTTTGTTTTTGAGATCTTATGATAGCTTAAAATTGGCTTCCTTACCTTTCCGACTATGAAAATGCATTTACCACACCAAACACAAAACAAAAACAATTTCTAGGACACAGCAAAAGTAATTAGCCATCCGCTGCACACTATATCTGCCCGGTAGCTACCCGTCAGCACCACATCCATCAACTGCCGGCAAAAAAAAATTGACTGGACGCAAGCAGCCTAGTGTCATGCACAGTGTGGCTGCTGCCCCATGGCTGTGTGTATGTGCATGGCCTCAGATAGCAGCATGAATGGATATCGATAAGCAGCACCACTGTGCGTTATGAAGGTCCAGCGTAGCGGCAAACCAAGTTTGCAGCACCAGCTACCAACTAGATAGAAGAACTTCGACCAAGCCTATAATTTACATCGCATTTACGTCCATGTCGTCTACAGTCACGAACTGGGGCAAAATGAATCATTGAATATGAGTGATAATAAATACATCTCAGCTCCGAGTAAGAATGGTGATGTACCCCCGCTAGACATAATCACTGGCCTATGTCAGAGCATAAAACCATACATCAAATCAGACAGTGATAAAAAAAACACCACCGGAGAGGTTGTAATAGTCTTTACAGTTAACAATGAGGTCCAGCAACAACCTGATTAGAACTGTGGACACGTACATCGTCTTTCCAATTTGACCATGCCAACGGAAACCTTACCAACACAACACTCCGGAAAAAATCAGGGAACTACGCATCCAGCATGTACACGCGAGCCCCAGTTAGCCAACAGCTTGCTGGATTGCTCCATACTTCGGCCCTTGCAGCCGCGCCAGTGTGGTGCGGTGCGTGCCTGCGCCGGGTAAACACATGGGACGCTGACGCTACTGACGCTCGTTGGAAGTGGATGCCGTGCGCCACAATGACTGGAGGTCACGCACGTCGGCGTGACCTCGACAACGGACCTGCACGCCCGGTCAGGGACCGGGCGGTCAGGGTTTCGTAACGGTGGGGCTCAGTCGCCAACGTTCACGCACGGGGCGTCTGGACGGAAGAGAACGCCTTGGAGGGAAAATAGCTCTGTGGTGTAGTTAATCTTAACAGCCAGTGCATTTGGGAACGAAATGGTAACATGTGACGCGACGCAAATTGCGGTCAACGATGTAGGTACTTGGAAATGCCGGAAACCATCCTCATTTTACATGCAGCCAGATGTCATACAAAGCTGCGATCATTCTGCTTTTACGATGCAGATATGTGTTATACTCTACATCAACGTTCGCCACAAACGCCCTGAAAAGTAACGTGATCGGATGCACCGTGCACGGCGGGCCAAATCTAGTGGGAGTCTTATATCCACACACGTCAACGGTAAATGTAGTCTGGACAACTTAAAAACATCAGTTCGTAGGTATGCACACTAGTATTGGATCACAAGCGAGTCATTGATTTTTGCATTTTTATGTGGGAGGGAGAGAGAGAGGGAGAGAGAGCGAGAGAGTGTGAGCGAGAGAGAGAGAGAGGAAGAGAGAGACAGAGACAGAGAGAGCGATATATATTTATATATATATATATGTATATATATATATATATATATATATATATATATATACTCAACAAGATCGGCCGTGTCAGCAGCGTGGCAGGCATAATCATGTGCCTGAAAAAGACTTACCCCAAGGTCGCAGTTTGGGATATCCAGATCATCTTCAACCAGTAGAGTGGGCGTGACGCTGCTGATGGACTGACCCGAGGCTCCGGCTGACCTTCCTGACCTTGGCTTGGTGAGGTCAACGGCCTGCTCGGTGGGGTCACTGCCCACCGGGCGAGCGGTCGTGACCTTGATCTGTGTCCGTGCTGGCTTGCTCTCCCCGCAGCCCATGATCTGACCTTGAGACGACCTCTTGTAGACGATGAGCGGTTTTCTGAGACGTTACGAGCTGACAGCTCGGGCACTGGGGACAGACAGAGGAGCTGTGATGGGAGCCGGACGCGACAACGGCTCCTGGTAACAGCAGTTTGTCGTCCGTGGCCGTTTGAGCTCTACATGCGGTCAGCAGGAGCAAAGGCGCGGCTCGTTTCGTAACTATGTTGATGTAACACAGCTGGCGTACTCAAACAAGTCTAGAGAGTTAAAAAACGCTGAATTTTTGGGGATGTGGCGGTGGATGCAGCTTGCTTTGGTCCGTGCGATCGTAAATAGATCGATTTCACTGGTTGCAAGTCGCAAAGTACGGCTCAAAGACGTGTGCTGCTGCTCACAATTCAGCGATGTTCATCATGTATGGAGCGGGGATGCCTATAGCATGAAGGAAGTGAGTAGCGCAGCACGCTTTGATTTAGCAATAACACCGTTTTGTTGTCATTGTTGAATCAACGTTACCAAAACAGAAATGCTGCACATGCAGCTTTCACTTCTACCCATATATATATATATATATATATATATATATATATATATATATATACATATATATATATATATATATATCCTACCTATTTCACAGGAAGACGTATCCTTACCACATCCCGGTTAGTGACAGGTTGATGAAGAAATGAGACCCACAGAGCATGATTTTGGCACCTCACTTAAGCTTGGGCTGCTTGCCATTTATATCTACATTTAGTTCCCTCGTTGCGTGCAGCCCTCTTCATGACTTCCGTGTACGTTGCATATGTCTGCTCCTCACTCATACCGGAGGACACTTCAATCCCTATGATGTGGTATGCTGATGCATGTCGCGTTTATTCATTTGGGAAAAACGTATCTATTAAACATTGATGACAAGACCAAATGAACTTTGAAGTTAAGTCCAACACCCATGAAGCCTCTTCTCCCAGCGCGTATGGCGCGAGAAACGAAGCAATCTAGCCTTCATGAAATGGACCATCCAAAATATCTTCAATGGTTTGTTCACAACGGAGCCTCTATGCTCGTCGGAGCGAGCTAAACGCAGGTGACGTTATGAGGGAAAGTTGAACCAGAATTCCTGCGCTTATCCCTTAAAACCTAGCGTTATCAGACGGGAGATGCCAGAAGTGAGCATATTCGGTGTGCAGTAAAGATAACTGTCGAAAAATGCGATGCATTCAGCTAAAATATGACGCAGGCACGTGCCGGGTTGATAGTCTGGGGCTATCTATCCCCGCCTGATGCGTGCAAGCCAGTGCGAACCGACGACGGCAGTAAATACCGTGAACTGATAAGCTGTGTCGTGATCATCTTTTCTCAGAAGTCTGGTTTCAAGAATTCGGGACGTGATGAGAAAGGCTCATGGGTGGAGCGTCTGGGATTCACAAATGTGTTGGAAATCCCGTGACATTACCAGTCCATGGCGTTGCAAACCCTCGCCTGCAATCAGGTTGTGGCGAAACACTTGTGCAAAGTAGGTTGCCTCCGTCCAAGTGAGTCACACCCGAGAGCACTCTGCATGGACAATGCCGGCGGTGGGCTGCAGAGAACTAGGGGATATACCGAGATCCACTAATGCGAAGCGTGGTTGTCGCCGCCAATGATTGCTCCACGTGGTGCACAAAATTGGTTACAGCGCTTAGATTGCTTCACTTGTCCGGATTCCACCGGTGGTTTATTTATGTGCACACGTGTCACATTCGTTGGCAGTACCCCACGTTTCCGTGGCTACCAAACGATAGCGGTACATTCCGCTGACATGGCTTTCAGTCCAGTAGATTCAGAGGCAATCTGTCTAGAGTGACGGACCACATCTTGTTCAACGCACCAGCTGTGTTTGTGCTCACTGCCACACATCTCTCCACATCGGAACGCTTTTGATTAATCGGATGAAACCGGTAATGGATGGGTCGCGCGGTCCATTACGACATTGTCACGCATACTGATCACCCAAAAGCACACATAGGCGGATCGCGGGCGCAGACAGTGTTTCGTCAGACACAACAAAAGGGTATATGTTGGTGATGCATTGCTGGATCGTGAATTGCTAAGCCTCACACGTACACTTAGGTCGGCCCAGAATGCCACGGATTCAGAACAGAACAAGAAAACATGTAGGGTAGTCTCTGTGGGACCCTGACAGCGCTGACAATGATCTGAATTTTTAACCTCGTTAAAGGGAGTGTGTCTCATGTTTTCGATTTTCTTCATAAGCGCCTAAGGGCAGTTTGGCAATAATCTGTGGTTAGTTTTGGTTGCTAAGGGTGCATTTGGGTCTTGCAACAGTTTTATGTATTTATTGTTATCTATCCTAGCGATGGCTGTGCGTGAACAAATACCATCCTAACAGATATATCAATCAGCGGGCAAGAAAGGACGAATGCACTGGCTTATATGTGGCGAATAACTGCGCGCTACAGACATGGCCATTATTTTGGTTGCTAGGTAACATAAAACAACAGCATTTTCCTAGGGCCTGGTGCAGCTGAATGTAAACAAAAACAAAACATCAACATAATGGCCGCCGCCGTCGCTGCGTTTGCGAGCTGTTGTCAGCGCTGACAAGCGACATCCGCGAAAAGCCATTGGCTAGAGCTAACGACACCTTCTCAATGATGTCGATGTGTTTAGTAGTGAATACTGCTGGTTGGCTACCCGATAACTTTGTTCGTCCATACAAACCAAATAATATTTTGGGGCCTGTGACAATATCTCGTTGGTGGAGGCGAATTCATAGAAACTGAGGACACCAAAATTTGAAATAGAAAATCCCTACCATCCTACGTGAACAGTCGAAAATTCTAACTTGACCAGACACGCTCCCTTTAGGGTGCAGCATGCGGTTAGTCGGTAAAATCCTGTGCCAAATTCTGAGTTGCAGCCGCTTCAATTTAAAGCCATCGGTTGTGGTATATATAATTATATATATATATATATATATATATATATATATATATATATATATATATATTATCCTTGACTTATAGCCCTTAATCTTTGCTCCCATTTCACTTGCGAGTGCGTGGGCGGGGCAACGTGTACTGGTGATACAAACGCATTATAACCCCGCCTTGCAGTGCCCATGCATGTCCTTAATTGGTCAAAATGTCTGCCCCCGAGTTGCGTGTACAGTGGGTTGTGCAGTGTAGTGCAGTTGTGCATTCAGAAGCTTTCGGTTCTGGTGGTCATAGAGATCACTTATTTGAACAACTGAATGGTGTATCAGCTGATGCTTGTGCATAGACTTATTCTCCTCTAAACATACGTCGGAGTTATCCATAGAACTTTGGATACAATATTTCTCCCGTTGGCTTAGGCTGTAACGACTGTACGGTTCGCGTCCAAGTGTTTACTACCTCTGACCAAAAAAGCATCTAACAAGTTCAGTGACTCTTAGGGTCGATGTTACAGTGCAGCAGTGATGTTTCGTTTTTTATTTTAAGTCGATTTCGTATAATCTCCTTTCATTTGGCTTTATGTCAAAAGCCTGCTTAATCCGGGTAATTTTGAGGCTATCAGCTTGAACTCATGGATCTGGGACCTTCAAACTTCCCAAGTAAAGACGGTTTTTGAGTACACCTTGTTTTATTTTGTCCCCGCCATCTGATCAATTTTGTCGCCGCGAACTGATCAATTTTAATTCCCATGTTCTTTAAAATCAACCGGTAAGGCTTTTCTAATGCTGCTCATGAGATATATCAGCTGCGAAAGGACCTCCGACTTTATCATGTGCGCCTCTCAAGAAACCGTAAGGCTCCGTCCGAACTGTGGGCTCAGCTTTCCTTAAAGTCGTTCTATTTTTTCATGGTGGTGGAGATCGCGTAAATCCTCGCAACAGCGCCTGGAATTGTCTTTTTTGTTTTTTGTTTTTTTTTACTATCGGAGCCGACTGCGCCATGCAGTGTTTGTCAAACAGCTTATCAGGTAGGAGATAAGCCCCTCATCACTGTAATTGTCATTAAGCTGCCCGCTCAATCTTCGTTCGAACATGACAAGCGGTCATGGTAAGGAGGTGCGACGCACAGACAAGTCAAAGCTGGGGATTGGCAAGCTTGCCGATAACTACCATAGATGCTGGCAGTGTCAATTGCGAAGTGGTGTGAAACCATAGTTTCAGTCTGCTTCAGCGTCTTTTCAAAAGTATCCATAACCTTTGATTGTGATAAAACCTGACGCGTTATGACACATTTCAATGTATTTGATAGCCTTAATAGACCTAGATTTATAATCAGCTGTGCAGCCGCCGAACTTTGTTCTTCATTATAACATGCATATTATGCGACGATGCTTTAGCAGCATTCTACTTTGCCCTACCCAGGTAGAAATATGGCCTGGCCAGGCACCAAAAAATTGGACACTAAGGCATGTCTGACCCAACCTAGGAAAACCTGGGCGGTGAGTGAGCGCGAGGTCAGGTGAAGTCGGAAGGCAGAACAGATCGTGCCAAGCATCACGGCACGTTTCACTTTTGCCACCAAATTCTGCCGTTGACATGGGATTCCCCGGTCGTATAGTCCGTCCGACCAGGACCCACACAATGGGCACAACTTAGCGTGAACCCTGATCCCGGTAATTAAAAAAGATATTAGCAGGGAGAAAAAAGACGTTTTACGCCTAATGATATGATGTTAATATCCACTCTAAAAATTGAGATGTGTTGTGTGTGTGCGGTCAATGCGAGTGAGCAGGGTCGTTCTTAAAAAAATATGAGTGGAAAGAAAGGTATGCACGGCCTTGGCCAGGGGTGTACTTTTCTCTTCAGCCTGCGGGTGGGTTTACAGTCCCCTCCCCCCCCCCCCCTACTCCCCCAAACTTGGTGTCCAGCCCCCAGCTTTGAGTAAAATTGGGCAAAATCCGATGTGAAGACCGTTTGCTGGTGTATTTCAGAAGATTTTGTCACTTTTCAGTGATCCCTTTCCCCTCCCCAGCTTAATTTGCTGAGCTACACAGCTGGCCATAGCCATGCATCTGCGCGGATGACCGGGTACCGTCTCAGTGACTATGCTCTCCCAGCGGGCTGGCGCCGCCACTGGGGCTTGGTGACTCATACCCTCAGTATGTACATACCGATAAATCCGGGAAATGCACCTGCATTCCAGAACTATTCGCGTTTTTCTGAGGCACATCATTTGATGCGTCGATGCAGGTTAGCTTTACCGAAACAGAATAAATGGTCACTATTCTCACTAGGTCACTAGCTGTAGCCGCGGCTAGATTACACACACTCGCAATCGATTGTCAAGTGCCGTGCTGAGCTGCATGCCTCGGGTCTGCAGCGGCTCTTTCGCTTGAAAAATCTAGCGCCTTCCTACCCCCCATCCCTCATTACGAGCACGCCCTCGCTGCGGCCGAGCTCACCTCTGGCTGACAGGGTCCATGCCGCGGAGCGGCGCACCGATGTGGGCGGCGTCCGTCCCACCGCCCGGGGCTGCGACCACCTGACCGGCAGCCGGCCGGACGCACCTTGTTTGGGCTCAGTGTTTAGTATATCGACATGGCAACGGAGTCGATCGGTGACGTCACGCGGCGACGGCGACGACGGGCCCGTTGACGGCGACGTCCGCCGCTGGCCCGGGCCCACTACGGGCGACGGCGGGCGTGGAGTGCGAGTCGCCGCCGAAACGGCTGGACGGAGCTGGAGGGTCACGAGCGTGCGGCAGCGATCCGCGTGTGAAGTCTGGCTCGCACCACGCTTCGGTGGATTCGCATGTATGCTAAGGGTGGTCTCGTACCTGGGGCGTCGCTCAATATGCTTTCGGAGAGCCTGAGCCCTCCCCCTTCCCCATTCTGATTTGCAACATCTATTGCAGCTGGAATGCTGGGCTGAATAGATACAGGACAATTTTTTAAACTATTAGTATGCAGGTAATAAGTAACTAAGCGCACCACTGTTAGTATCACGCTAGTTTTGTACCAAATAGCACCCTGCAGACCCTTTTGTTTTTGTCATGGTATCTCCTTCACATACTAAGCTATTCTAAGCCATCTTCCTCTAAGCCATCAGCCTCTAAGCTAAGCCATCTGCAACTACATGATAAATTTATTTTCAAATGTTAACGTCGGGACTGGGATAAACAACAGTTGAGTGCAACATGCGGCAGCGTTTAAGTACAGGGCGGTGCAGGCGCCCTGTGTTTAAACGCATGTTTTCCATAGCAGTAGTAAGTGTATTTGTCGCATGATCGTGGCTGTGATGGTTAAACAATGCGGTTGACGGCAGCGTGGCTGTGGTGGTTATGCAACGCGATTAGCGAACAGCGGTAGTCTGCAGTGAGCCGTTACTAAGGTTTACTAAGATGTTGTTTTCTGTGAAGTACGCCTCATTCTAAGCCTTTTGCAAATAGGAGGCTTAGATTAACTGAAAATGGGAAGCCATTCTCCAGCAGAAACACAATTTGAAATTAGCGAAATATTAAAAGGAACACTTGTGAATGGACCTTACTCTTCAGAGGCCAGGTGTCGCGCTCATTCATTGCATGTACGCATGTACTGCACGCTCGTTCATGTGTGTACACGCTTCTCAGCCAGGCTGCTGCAGCGAGGGTAAACACAAATATGTTTCAATTGATCCATGACTTAGGCCATCCCAGATCATCGCAGAACACGGCTGTTTCGGAAAACACGACTGGTTCAAATGATTAACGAGACGAGCAAACATTTTGGTTTATTGTGTATTTTATTATGTTGTCTATTTTATCATGGACTCATTGGCGATCATAGGTTAATGACCCTATGCTGCCTCCACCCACAGACTGATCTGCTATTTTAGAGCCAGCCAGTGCAGGCGTGGATGAAACTTGACCCATATGTATCACTTTCGTAAGGCTTAATGCATGGACGAAGTTTACGAGGAGCATTAAATTCAATGTCAATTTGGTTTATCAGTTTGGCACTACAAGAAATAGTTCGTCATCTGCGAATTTCCAGTCCAGTGAACATGCTGTACACCTTAGCCCTCGCCGTGATTTGCCGTTTCTCATAACGCGTACCGATAGCGGGGGCCGACGTGACTCTCCTTCCATTTCATTTCCATAGTAATGAATGTCCGGTTCAGCGCAAAACACTAGCGCATTGATCTCAACGATATGTCGCGATCAGTATTAGTTTTATGTTGTTACATCTATAATTGCCCCTATTATGCCAGCTTCAAGGTCAAGGTTTCTAGAGAATTGCGCTCATTTAGCTAGGAGCATCATGCTTACGAGACTATGCATTGTAGCGACAATAAGTCTTAACAGGCTTGAAATAGTTTATGTCAAGGGTTTGCATTATTTGTCTGCGGATGAAATGGGAGAACCCGTCATCTTTTTTCATCGCATTAAAGGACGGGTATGCTAAATAACGTACGATTTTTAAAAGTTGCTACGTTTTCATCATCATTATCAACATGGTCATCACCATTTGACGTCCTGTCAGACCATATACAATGAAAGAACATCCAACCGTGCACATGCAACTTGCATGCAATCGGTATACGAGGTCACCGCACCAATCCACACATAAAAGGTACACCAGCCTTAATCTGGTCTCTGGATCGGTCTTCCTTACATGTCATACCACTAGATCGAGAACGGCTCTGCCCAGAATATGCTCGGCAAAGCGGGACAATGTGCATTGCATTAAACTAAACTCACATGTATAAGCGGCCGGGGTGGTTTAGCGATGTCTACGACGCAAGCAAATGAGGCGTTGATTTTCGCTGATGGACTTGCGCTTTTCACATGCGGCAACAGTCACAAAGCAAAGTAACCGCTGTAACTGCACACGTTACAAAATCGGTGGGGGCGGACACTGGAAAAACAGTGTGGAGACGCTGACGCAGAGTGTTCAGAACTCATTTGACCGTGTTATGCGTTCCGCTTATGTCGCCGCTCGATGAGGCCATTCCGGACGATGCACGGATTCGATCCAAGCTTGCTTGTGTCCGATTTCGCGCCGTCAGATGATGTGATTGGGTCAAACTCGTAAAGAATGATTCTTAGCGAAAGATGTAACCAACTTGTTTAGAAAAATGATAACTCAGACCGCATTCAGCCTACAGATGTCATGCAGACTTGGACGCAAAGATTTGACGATTCCGTGGCTTAGACACGAATCAAAATTAGTCGGAACAAAACAGCGAATACATTTTGATTAGTATAGCCTCTATAATATGCTTTTGTATTCTAACATGCTGCCGCAGTATGAATAGCATGTCACATGCCGCAGTGCGCGGCTCTCGCCTCATTTATTCCGCATGTGTTCTGGCAATATAAATCAGGACCACATCGGAATATCAAGACAAGCCTCGAATAAAGCTAGGTGATCCTGGGCAACACCTGGCCTTACCGATACCAAAGCATCGGCCGGTACCACCGCAGCCAGGCCATTCCCTGACCTCACTGGAGCCAGCGCGGTAACCGATGCTATGAGACGCAGCGCAGCATCCGGTCTTAAAAGAGCCAATGCAACAGCCGACCCCACCACTCACTAGTTGGTCTCAATGTCCACTGGTGAAAGCTGGAAAGCCTCAATATCCACCGGTGAAAGCTGGAAAGCCTCAATATCCACCGGTGAAAGCTGGAAAGCGTCAATATCCACCGTGAAAACTGGAAAGCCTCAATACCCGCCGGTGAAAACTGGAGAGCTGACTTCAGTGGGGAAAATGATTTTAGCACACCAGCGGCCGCAGCCGTCACTGTGTAATTACTGGGGAGGCGGGGAGCTGACACGATTCTGATCTGGAATCTGTCCATGCACGCATGCCGCCAGGAGTTGAGTTGAGGGACAGCTGATACAGAGGCTCCGCCCCCCCCCCCCCCCCCCCGCCAATCTGCTGTCCCTGCCTTGGGGTTAAACTGGAGTCAGCGGACGGCGGGAGGCGAACGAGTCCTTGGGGGCACCTCCTCCCTTCCTGCCAAGGTCTGGGACCCCTTTGAGTCTCCATAACCATTCAGCCAGCCTGCCGCGCCGGGCGCACCATTAGGGCGCGCCTGGCGCGGGAACATCCCACGGGACAGTCGGCATCGTGGGAACATGGGGTGCACGTTTTTCACAAAGTCAGAGTGTGGGAATCGTGGTCTGCAACTCCAAAGAGACTCCAAATCGTCAAACGCATGCACATACGGTCTAGTGAGGAGATTAAATGCATAAAACGTCACACAGACCGCTAGACATATTTCACGCGTTTACTATAGCGTCTTCAAAATGGCGAGCGATAGCGAGAAATAGCGAGCACGCTATGCGTCAATCATTTCAAAAGGAAGTTCCTCAAACTGTGCACCCCAGCGCCCTCGCTCGCCACTCCGGCTTCTCACCGCCACTCCCTCGGTTCTCGGCAGTTTTTCCACAGCGACGAAACATATTGTTTTTTTTAGGGTCATGGCCACTCCAATGTCGAGGTGCAACCCCCCCCCCCGCCCTTAATCTTGGGGTCGATCCTGCTGCGTTAAAAGTGATTAAAATCATCTATCTCCTCTTTGAAAATGATAGCAATTTTACGCCCCGATAGGAAACTGAAAGTTTTGCGAAAGCATCAGAACTAAAAACGGTTCTGGCTTTTACGTGTCTAGAGAAACACAAAGGTTTGCTCAAATTTTGTTCTAACAGGTTCTTGCACTTTTATGATGAGATGAGGCACAAACATCCCGCTTCACCACTTCAGCTAGATATGAATCCAGAGGCATCGTCGCCTAGGTGATGTTCGTTATTTGGCCATGCGTGCAGCAATGGTCACGCGTTGCCTCGGGCTCCATAGCACATTGGTCGAGACTATGAATGTGTACAGGGCAAGAACCAAACAAAAACAAAAAACAAAAACGCTTGACGGTTTTCTTCAGCGCTTTCCTGACAGGCAAAACATGGTCAAATATACAATTTTTGACGAAATTCTCCAAAATAAATTAGTTGAGAAATTAAGATCTTTCTGGTTTGAAAGTGTATATGCCATGCGGCTGCAAATGCCAATCCAGACATGCACCTGGCCCACTGACATTACCAAAGCACTGGTCAAAAACAGTGAACCTGAAGCCATTTCATTAGTGTGGCCCAATGTTGAAAATTTGCGTGCTTTATTTGGCTCTACCACTTGGAGTCCAGTGGCAATGACTTGGAGGTGTGATGATGATGCGGTGAGAGCATGGTGTGCCAGTTAAAATTTTGGAATCGTGGAGTGCTTTTTTTCCTCCCTAAGTTCTGTCGTAGCCAGATACCGGAAGATGAGGACAGCGCTATTCCGGCAATGGTCGCTGACGCCTCCCAAAAGGCAGCAAAACCCGTGAATTTGGGCTTCCGCACCAAAAGCAATTAAATGTTGGAGCGACCAACAAAAAAAGATTTCCTGAAAATCAGGTTCCTCACATTTGTTTCGAAATCGTTGTGTTGTTTTGAACCACACTGTCTTAAAAGTCAGTATATTCTGTGCTAAATGGTAATATACACAGTACACAAACGGTGA